TTCAGAAATTTTCATCTTTTTCTAAACTACACAATTGCACAGAATATTCTACGTAAATTAGTAATACAACAGTACAGGGAGAAATAATACAAATCAGAAATTAACACTACAATAATTCAATCATGAAACAGATAGGTTTGTAAACTTTTTACATGATGCACACATATACACATAACTAATACGAGGTACATGTCGACCAAGGCAAGAAAAGGTTAATAACCGTCTCCTATTGAATCCCACAGGAAATATTCAATTCCGTAAAATGCCGTTTGTCTCACAATAAACATATGTTTGACAGAACCAAAATATTGAATTTTGTAAGTAGAAAATAGTAAGGATATTAGTAGGTACAAAGAATGGATTATTAGAATAGACTAAATATATATAAACATATATATATATATCATACTACTGGTACTACTTTTATTACTTTGTCCGTAGGTTCGAGACGATGATATTGTTTTTTTTTTAAGAAACAAAATTCGGATCCAGACAAAGATAATGATTGTCGCTTTTGCATCAAGGAATAGAAAGTTTTGCATTGAATAATAATAATAATAAATTATTCAGTGTTAAGAACATAGAAGTGCAACTTATTTATTTATGTTCATATTTATTCTTTTACAACGCAATAAATTATTGACAAACTATAGTTGCCTTGATGAATAGATAAACAGTTGGATCAATCGATAGAAAGAAAGAAAGACGTAACATTGAATCTGTCGTTAGTTTTAAAATAATAAAATGGTTATAAACATTAATAGATGGTGGTGAATTTGAAAAATTCTGAATCGTAGAGGTAGAGATGATACACTTAATTATGTCATTCACTACTAGAATTTACATTAATGAACAATACGCTACTGAACTGATTGAAATAACAAACTACACTTGATTAGAACAAATTAAATACTTTAATATATTCAATTTGAAATAAATAAAACTGCAATGAAACTCTTGGAAAAAAACTGTATAAACTATAGTACGGTATTGGTGGAAATTCAGATGATAAATTTCATAAATCACTGACCGAAAGATGAATTAAATTGTTTAACGACTGATCAGGAAGAAGTATATTCGATGGTGAAATGAATATAGTTAGTTCAATTTATATAAATGAATAAACTATGAAATTCTTCAAATTAGCTATTATTATTGTTGTTCTTTATATTGTTTAAATTGAATAGCTGATGAGTCCCATGCTAGGACGAAACGGCTTCAACCTTTTCAATGATGGTCTAGCTTAGATCGACTCGTGAATTCTACTCTGAAAATACTACGATCTCCACAAATTCCCGTATTCAACTTAATACTTATTACCATTTGCACTTTTTTACTGTAAATCAATACATCATTTGAAGAAACAATCAGAATTCATTGGCTAGTTAGGAATTATTCCACAGCGTAAGTTCATTATACAACTGTTAACCTAATTCAAAATCATAGCTGAAGCACTATGATAACCACTAGATATTATTTACTTCATACATTATAGATTCCAATATAAACTTTGAGCAATCTATTTTTAAGCAAAAAACTAATCAGCATATGACTATTAAATTTTCATTAAATTAGTCACTAGGTAGTCATACTTATTACCAATGATCGTTCAGTTCACTCTGATTTCCAGTGATGTCAATGTTTTCGATTCAAAAAAGGTAAAAATAACTCAGAAATAATAAATAGAGTTAAAATTAGTGTATCACAATCGTCGCATATAGAAAAAAAACATACATGTCTTAATGTTTCAAACAAAACAACAGTATAATATTGATATCATAAACCGATCAATGCCAGACCATCATTGAAAGTCTAGAAACATTGAACGGTCGTTTCGTCACAGTATGGGACTACTCAACAGTGCACACCCACGATCTCGCACGCGGGATTCGATCCCAGGTACTTCGGTCTCCCAAACCAACGATTACCCTGTAGACCACTGAACCGGCATCCAACGGTGTTGACGTTTAACTTCAATCGATCCATAACATTGCGCGACCATCTTTATTTATTTATTTAAACACATAAAAACTGGTAAAAAGAGGCACCAAAAACATATGCACCACATAAATCATTCGATTTATGTGACGGCTAGAATATTGCTCGGGTGCCCGAACTGAAGCAGGTGGTTTTCTTAAGGGACTACACCCGGAGCCTTCGACCTAAAGATCTGATCCACAAGGCAGTGGAGCAACGTCAGGATACGCAGTCCCATGGTAGCTGGTGACGACAAGTTCATACGCCATTTGTTCCTTCAGGATACTGGAGCCCATATGGACCACTGGTTTGGAATCAGGTACTTTCAACTCCGCTAGGTAGACTCTCCGTGTCCACGAACCCGGTTAAAGCGCCGGATATTCGCTTTTCGTCCTCTCAATTTCGTAAACAGTAATGCCGCGAGAAGGTAGTGATTAGGACTTCCCTGGTAGTGGTTGTATACGCTTGGCCATGTGAGAGCATTTCGAGAGAGAAAGAGTGGAGTCTCCCCACTCTCGACCGTACCAGGGCATGTGGGGGCTTGGCGGCCTCGCAGCTACCATCTTCTACTGTACTGAGGTAGATACCTGTCTCTATCCGACACAGATGAGCTCCAATGGTTATGACCTCCGAGAATTACCTCTCGAAGCTAGTCACCAATGCTCCCAGTTTTTCAATGGTGGTCTAACATCAATTAATTCATGTGAAAACTCAACAGTTTTTACAACCGTTTACTGACAGCATAATGTGTTAAGTGGAAACAAGATTGAAAGATTCAGACAATAAAAATTAAGTATATAAAGTAGAAAACATAAAATATAAAACCTGTAACATTTAAACATGAAATGATTAGAACGGAAATATTCAATTTTATTACACTTTACAAGAACAATGACTATTAGGCACACAAGACTGTATCATATTATAAACCCTTAGTCTCACTTTAAAACGTACAATAAAAGTTTAAATGGATGAAAATGTTTAAAAATGTAGTAAATTTTTCGTCACATTTGTGCAAAACGTTTTTTTACTAATTGAATTCACATGTTGTTGTTGCCTTACAGATAGATGATAGATAGCAAAACAAAAATTGAAATTTTGTATTGATATTTGACAGTTGTTATGTGGTCAGAATTTACAACCATCTTTGACTATACATCATAACACACTCGTGATTGTTAAGATTTATTTGAGACTAACATATAATATGGTGTATTTTTTCTTTCCTCACAAGAATCATGAGAAATATCATTTATAACAATCTTTAATGGTCGGTAATGCCTTATTCTGAAAGAATTCCAACAGAATATTAGTTAAATACAAGGAATATTTAAACTTCAAGCACGAATTCAAAATTATTTCACGCTAGAAAAAAACTCCGTTTCTTAATGATCGATTCACAAGACCATACATAATTTGTTGCTTAAGTTTCTTTATGATTGGGTATTTTAAGTTAATGAAGAATAAGAAATTCTATAAAACTATATTGTTGGTCTTTATTTGTATCGAATTATTCAGTTGTACTATAATGCTAGGATGGTGTCGAATTATCTAGCTTTTTTTTCTTTCTACTAAACCATAGTTCTAAAGAATAAAACAATTTCTCTGTGGTTTCTCTGCAATTCCTATTCCTATTATTACTATGTGATCGGTTACTTTCACTTCTAGTTTGCTACTTTGTTATATGGTATATAGTAACTTATTCTGAGCATTTAATTTTATTATTACTGTAAACATATATCACCTGCAAAAGTCAATGAAGCATATAAGAGTACAAGATTATGGCTTTTAACAATGACATCATTCATAACTATTTGTAAATGATACATAATAAAACAAATGAAAATCGTGTTACGAATATGTGATGAATATGGGATCTTCTGTCTAATGTGTAAATCAGTATTAAAACAAAATCCCAATTTCTTCGAAAATAACTCAAGGTAAACAAATAGTATTAGCTATTACGAAGAGTGATTAAGTGTTGGTATATGTTAGGGAGGTACACAAATATATGTTAGTTTTTAACGGGAAGTGTTAAAACTCAGCAACTATAAGTTGGAAAGGACGATTATTTTTTTCAAATATAACTTTTATTAACAATGATTGAATAATGGTCAATTTATATGTCGGACCGACTAAAGTTGGGGAATCTCGGCTACCGAATTTCAACTCAATGGCTGAAAAATATCATGTTTACTATGAAAGCTAACTAGTCGTGGATCAAACTTCATATCGGGTCCGTGAGTGTATACCATTGAGAAGTCTCAGACTAAGATCAAACGTATATTTGGTCCCCCATAATTTTATATACTTCACCAGTTCTTGATGAAAACTACCCAACTATTGAACGGGGTGAAACTAGTTTGCAAATTTTCTATTACCAAACAGCTAATTCAAGTTATTTTATATCATCGCGATTGTAAGATCACTTTTGGCTGATTAACTATTACAAAATATTTTAACGTTTTTAACGTACAGTTATTCGAGAATTTTTTTGTTTGATTATATTTTCCTTGAAAAAGCTTGGACCAGATTGCCAGGCGAAACGTTGGATTTACTTCAAATTCTTGCGCTGAGATTTTACAAATACATTCTTCCTCTTTAATGTCTCACATTAACTCGGCGCCCAAATATTCTGAAACTATTCGTCCAAATTTAGACGAAAGTTCTTATGTACAGTTACTTTGCTATAAATGGATTTCAGATGTCCTAATCTTCTGTACTCATAGAAACTTATTCTATATGGAGAGCTGTTATCTTGCACTTTATGCATGTAATCATGTGAGATCTTGAATCTGATGATACGGACCAATACTAAGTATGCAAGGTATCCGGGCTGGATTTCCTAGTATTTTGATTGGATAAATTTTGAGTGAGCGATCGATCGCCGGCATATACAATATCTTATAGTTAGTGGAAAGTATTATTGGAGTAGGTGAAAATAACAATCTAATTACTGAGTGATTAATATACTTTTTTGTATTTCAAAAGAATAGATAAATCATTTATGTGAATAAACTTACATAAGCTGGAGATGATCCTGATACTCCAACAGCTGCATTAAATAAAGATTCCGGGATAGCTTCAAATACAGGAAAGATTGATGAACATAAGGCAGAAATCAAATTAATATCTTCTTCAGTAACAGAAGATGTATGTGCATACACTGCAGTACCAACACCAACCAGACACGGTGTATTAGGCATAATACGGATAATTCGAGTAGATTTCGGCACAGCCTATAAAGTATATCAATATAACCAGATTCATAAGATGTAATATAAAGAAAAGGTATTTTAGGAGTTGAAATCATTTATTTAAAAATATATATATAACTTTGTCACTAACTGTAATATTTAGAACAATCATGATAAATGTTACTTGAATTAATATTTTACAGTACAAAACAATTTAGAATTCCAGATAATTAAATCTTTCATTCAACCACTCTTACATAACTACTAAACACAGATATTAAAGTTGGTAATAAACACCGTTTATAAGTGTAAAACACGATTTAAAAAACTGGGTTAAATAAAATTGGCTGTTAAGAGCTATGTTAAAAAATAATTAACTAACAAGAAACAATAAAGCTTTAAATTAGAAGAGGGAATGCTAGGACAGTGTAGTTGTCAGCAGTAAGTATCCGATAAACATGGATAAACAAGATTACTATCGTACTGATAATTTTATAACATTTATTTCTACCCTTCATCAATTATTTGTGATCTGACAAGTAACTGATTCACACTATTTTAACTGATTATTCGAAATATGAATAAATACTTTAATTCTGTAATTTGTTTAGTCAGTTGACTAATGGTTCTGTTGGTTTTTTTAAAATCCACTCATTTTGAATTTCGGGGTTGATTGAGTTCATAAATGACGAGTTAGAAACACGCGCTTGCAATGGTTTAATTAAATCGATTGTACCATCATAAATACGACAAATAAGTTTATCAGATTCACCGGTATAAAATCAAGTTGAAGAAAGTCACTATACGGATAAAGGGAATTACAGTTTTTGACGGTAGAATTGCGAATGTTTCAGTTTTATGCTGACGCATTTGGTATCTTTAATGACATCTTTTGACAGACCTGAATAATTATTCAGAAATTATGTTACCTCGAGATAGGTATATATATATATATATATATATATATATATATATATATATATATGCAAAGATAAAGACCAAGAACTTTCGATGTAAATATGATGCGCTACAGGCAAGACGATATTTTAAGACTTTTCTGAAATAAAAGACATGTAACGATCTTAACATTCAACAATCTGATGAAAATGTGAACAAGTATTAGTTGAGATATTACGACAAAGGATACCTAGCCATTACTTGTTTTCGATATGTAAGAATATGGGTAGTTCTGAAGTAAAAAAATAATAAAAGAGCTAAAGTAAGTGAAAGATTTATAACCACATTAGCCACTTAGTTTATTAAACTTAGCCATTCCGAATATTATTAGACACTCTCCCTTCTCCATGAATAACTAAAAAAGATAGACAGCTGTAAGTCAAGAGTTTCTTCAAAAGATCTAAGTTTGTGCCAGGTACGGTTTTTTAAAACTGTGAGTTGATAACAATATATCCTCAACATATGTAAGATTTAGCAATAATAATTACTGAGTCTTATTATTAAGGAAACTTCACATGTGATTCTTGGCTGATCTAATGAACATAATACCGATTGAATGTTGGTGAATATGATTTAGTTTTTTCCTATTTGACGGTGAAATTTTTTTGATTACCTTCCCAACATGACGAATGTATCTTTTAAGTTGAAAAAGAATAGTGTAAACTGTGATAATCATCAGATAGTAGATAATAATATAATCCCATGCTATGCACTTTAAAATATCTAACAAAGAACCTTAATGATTACGCAGTGTATGCTACTTATGTCGACCGACATAAGCAGTATGTAACACCAATCGGAAGTGGAAAACCTGGCGGCATAAGGCGTGACTTGAAGAGAACAGGAACGGAACAAAAAAGAATTGTGAATCAGAAGAATGGTACAGAATATGAAAAACAAAGAATGGAAATTTGTCAATGAACTTTTTAATGTTTAGTTTTCATATTTTACCAAAACACTCTGTAATTTTATATTAGAATATAGTTGGTCGTTCCCCACCCCCATCAACTATATTCTCGTCCATAACAACTATACAAATTTATATATTAGAAATTATATTAATTCATTTATTGTTTTGACTTTTATATACTTTATTCAAAAAATCAATAGTTTTCCAATATGATGTAAATGATGCATTATGAATAACATATAATGTATGTTATAAACAATAATCACATGAAAATTGTTCATTAATAAGATTAAATATCGAAAAAATATTATTTTTGGTTATTACTATCATTATTATAACACATCATTAAAGTACATTTATTACGTAATAAGATTTTTTAATTTTTTTTTAGAAAAAAATAATTGTTACTAACTATTATTTTATTAATTACATGTTAAAGATGAATGAGAACTAAATCTAAATAAAGGGTACCTTTTTTTTTAGCTAGACACATTTATAAGAAAACTGTTTGATAGATTGATTTTTCCATAGTATTCTGAACATTATATATATAATATTATAGAATATATGGTGAAAAAGCAAATGAAGCTTGTTTTAGTAAATAAAATAAATGGACAAAAAAGCAGTCCCAATTTATTCCCCTAATATATATCATTATGATGGGAATATATGTATATATGCCCTGGTACGGCCAAGAGTGGGGAGAGTCCGCTCTCCCTTTCGAAATGCTCTCACATGGACACGCGTATATAGCCCCTTCCAGGGAAGTCCTACTCATTGCCTTCTCGTGGCGGGGGTGTTGTTTACGAAAATGAGAGGACGAAAAGCGAATGTCCGCCGCTTTAACCGGATTCCAAACTAATGGTGCACATGGGCTCCAGTATCCTGCGGGAACAAATAGAGTATGAACCAATTCCTTGGTCACCGGCTACCATGGGACTGCATCTCCTTACGATGCTCCACTGCCTTGTGGACCAGACCTTCAGGTCGAAGGCTCGGGGTGTGGCCCCCTAAGAAAACCACCTGCTTCGGTTTGGGCACCCGGTCAGTATCACAGCCCTCACACATATCGAATGAGATTTTTGTGGCGCATATGTATTTGGTGCCTCCTTGTTAAAATAAATAAATAAATAAATAAATGCATTTATATAACCAGTTTTAATGTTCAACAATGTCACTGATATCACATTAAAAAGTTAACCTAGTTTTAATTTAACTCCAATTGATGATTACGGAAACAAAATGTCAGTGTCACTGAGAAATAATCAAACTCATGATCTTGTGGTCGGGCAGTTAGTAGACATAATTCAAAGTACAGTTTTACAGATAACGAGATCATTTGATGATCTAAATTTTCAACAAAACAATATCTAATTGAACTAATGTTCTCTATAAATCATTCAACTAAATGCAATACTTCATTTTTCATCAGTATAATAATTGCTGTTAGTGATATCAGATACTTGGAAATAATCAACAGGAAAACTTGAACTTATAATTCGTGCTATTCGGTACTGGTCAGAAAGCAAGGGCCGATATGTTGTAGGGAACCAATGCTTCGTGGTCGATTCGATCCCATATTACACAGATACGTAGTCTGACACGTTATGACTAAGTTATTCGGACTGTGACTGATCTTCCGTGGGATTGAGATACAATTGATTGACCACTGAGTAGTGGCCAAGTTCACATTTATTTATACCTTTAGTGCATGGTTACTTTTAAAAATCTATGATGAGAATATTATTTAGAGAGATAATGATTAGACGATTTAATTAAAAAACATAACATTAAACAGTATTATAAGCAAAGATGGATGGTGGCTAGCAGTAGAATCCAGGACGCGCGTTTCGTCCTATTTGGGACTCATCAGCTGCCTCGCAGTCTTGAATTCCACTGATAGCCACCAACCATCTTTGCTTATAATGCTAATGACTTAAGGCAAAATCGAGGCAATACGTAGAGTATGCACATATGCTAATAAGAGACTGATCAATTGTAGTCCTAAACATCAATGGGAATATTCAAGCAAACGATACTAAGTGCATTAACCTTTATTGTTTTCTGATCAGGTAGTTCTTTTATGGGATTAACACTAATTGTTAGAAGCGTTTTCGATTGATGATATAATCTAATCTGATGATGCTAAGACTTTCCTTATTCCAACTCTACTTCAGCTAGCAAGGCATGTTGATGTAAATAATGACAAGGTATACAAAATGTTTCTGACCAAAAATCAATGAAAATATATTGATCGCTGAGTAACCCCTGTTACTTCAAACTACATACCAAGTCTAAAATTTGGTTAATTGATTATTTATCAACTGCAGAACGATAACTTGTATAAATCGGTGATCTGACAGCTTTTTCTATCCTAATGTAATCGATCTTTTTTGGTGTTAGGATTATTGAGATTAGCATGACTTAATGAGATGAATAAACCAAACAATTACTTAAAGATCAAAATCTACAGAATACTGGATATATATTGGCCAAGTGAATGAGTTATTCAGATCTTGTTGGCGCAGATGCATTTCCATTGAATTTTAAATACATTACTAACTCTACGCCTGTTTGCTCTCACTCTATCGGTTTCTCCTTTATTCTTATGGTTGCAAATTTTGAAAATGTAAACCAGTGTACCTTTATATAAGGTTTCACGGTGTCCTATCTATCTGTTTATCTATGTAACAATGTATTAAAAGTGCACAAAGGTAGAGTAATGGCTTAGCAAGTTAAGGACTTAGCTTTCAACCAATAGTTTGATTTTTGTTCTAGCTGTCACTAACCATAGCACCATATGTTCACCACATAAATCTATACTCAAAAGATGAGCCACATTATTAATTATCATACAAGGAATGTAATATGTAAAGTATGACAACTACAAATTATATAGACTGGAATTTTTCGAAATCTTACCTGTTGTATTTGGTCTAGTGTAATCCCTGCAGCAATAGAAACCAAAAGTTTATCATTTAAACGATCGGATAGATTTTTTAGAGCTGGTAGTAATATGTGTGGTTTAACGCAGGCGAACACAACATCACTTTTTTCAACCATTGGTTCATTTGTTTGTATATATTCCACTCCATATTTCTACTCGAAAAAGATGAGACAATTCAATAGCATAAGTAAACTGTTATCTACTAAGATTAGTTTCGCCATCATGACGAAAGTTATCAACTGTCTACTGAATACATTAGGCTGGCAAAAATCAGTCTGGAATGCAACAGGCAATAGCTAGGATAAGTTAAACAAAAGTTGTCCACATCAAACAGTTCATTTGAATGAAAAGCGGGACATACGTTCTAAGACTGAAGAGCGATATATCCAGAAGAATTAAATGATGTCTCCAGGTAGCTTAGTAAATCAAATGCAAGTGTGGGTAAGTTACGATCAGTGAATTATTCATATGACCAAAGTCATCAACCACATTTCCCTGTCCCGGTCACGCTGATTACCTACAAATAGTGACGATTTATATGTACTTAGATATCAACCTTTGATAACACGGTTTCCTACAGTCTTGTTTTTTTCCTTTGTCTAGTTGGATTAGTCAACAGTCAGGAATGTCACTAACGGATGAATGGAAAATAAATCATACATCACAAAATAAACTAATTTTTTAAAAGTCAGCTGTTCATTTTCTATATAAACAACTTAACCTCGAAATACCGTTACATTGTTTCTTTTTCATATTTATTAAAAAAGCAACTAACAGAGAGACTGAAATGGAATATATCGTACTGCTTAACTTTATAGAACTGAAATCTACCTAGTACGTTATTTTGAATAACGTATTTGTTGACTTATAGTTTACGATCTATGTCTATACAAGCATTGTGTAGTGAACCATTCATGGATCGAAAGCTTCCCTCAAATAACAACAAATGATGGCACCCGGGCAGTATCACAGCCCACACGCAAATGATGAACTCTCTATATCTATGGAAACTACTTTTCTCGCTTCGAATAACAATCAAATGATTCAAATGATTATTATTATTTACCACATTATTCACCCTCTTTTATTCTTATACAGTGCCTCGTCTTTAGTGGAAATTCGACTGTATCTAAATGTTCTCGAGTCACTGTCCGGTTGAAAATTGTATGTTACCAATGAATATGAGTACTGAAGCAGCTTTTCTGAAACCACGTGCACCATTCAAACTGGTTGCCTTCAACGTTCGCACACTTATGCAGGTCGGACAACAGATAGGGCTGGCTATGTCTTTGGAAAGTCTTAATATCGATGTCTGCTGTCTATCCAAGACCCGTATTCAAGACTCTGATGAAGTACTACAAATTCGATCTCCATCTGTCGCTTCGAAAAGCTTGTTTTACGTGCGCTTATCCGGGGACCCTGTGGCATCTTCGCCTGGTCTTGCTGGCGTTAGTGTCGCACTAAGCGCTAGAGCTGAGGCAGCACTAATAGATTGGATCCCCATTAACAGTCGTTTATGCGCTGTGAGATTAGAAAGTTCCATCAAAGTGAGAAGAAATCGGCGTGAGAAACGATGTCTTTTCGTCATCTCCGCCTATGCCCCGACAGATTGCAGCCCGGATGCAATCAAGGATGAGTTTTACCACCAGTTATCTGTTCTTCTCCAGAAAGTGCGTTCGACAGATATTGTAGTACTAGCCGGAGACTTGAATGCTCAGGTCGGGCGTTTAGGCACAGAAGAGAGTCGTTTATGTGGCCGATGGGGACTTGGTGGTCGCAGGTCAGATAACGGGGACCGTCTACTGCAACTGTGCACAGACCACAACCTGTTTCTGGCTAGCACTAACTTTCGGCACAGTCATCGCCGATGTGCCGCCTGGCGTCCTCCCTCTGCATCTCAAGCCTGGACTCAGATTGATCACATCGCGACCAGCTACCGCTGGCGTGGTTGTGTACAAGACTGCCGCTCCTTTTGGAGTACCTATCTGGACTCTGACCATGCCCTGGTCTGCGCCAATCTTGCCTTACTTTTCAGTGGACAACGAAGTGAACGCCATCAACGGATTGATGTCAGCAAGTTGGTTGCAGTTTCTGTTGCTAGTAAGTATCGAACCGAGCTAGTTTCTAGGCTAGCTACCATTCCACCGAAAAGTATAGATGAGCATTGGTTGCAATTGCATGACGCCATGAAAACGGTGGGTACAGTCAGTTGTGGGTTCGCGAAACGTCCCGCTTATAAGCACTGGGTTTCTTCTGGTTCCTTACAACTCATTGAAGCCCGACAGTCTACTCCGAGTGACCGTCAGTTTGACCACAAACGAAGGATGTTACGTAGTAAAATTGGGCAAAGCTTGCGTAAGGACCGAGAGGCCTGGTGGTCGAAGCGTGCAAATGAGCTGGAAGCAGCAGCTGCATCTGGTAATTACCGGAAGCTCTTCCAACTCATCCAAGCCACTGGCAGCAAGAAGTCTGGTGTGAGTGAAACAATCTTCGAAGATGATGGGATGCCAATCACTAACATCCATCTACGTCTTGGATGATGGGAAGAATTTTTCGAAGGGCAGTTCAACTGGCCTGCTGCTCCGGCAACATCGGTCAGACTGTCCTACCCTCTATGGCCGGTGACGACTGATCCACCAAACGACGAGGAAGTCTGCAAGGAACTCCAACTCTTGAAGCGTTACAAATCACCTGGCCCATATGACTTACCTCCGGCTCTTTTTAAAGATGGTGGTGACTTTTTGACTAAGGAATTGACGACGTCGTTTACAAAGGTTTGGGAACTAGAGAGTGTAACAACGTCATGGAATGAGTCGATAGTTGTCCCTATCTTTAAAAAGGGTTCACGTTGTTCCTGTAACAACTATCGATGGATAAGTCTACTTCCGATTGCGTCCAAGCTATTGGCTTCCGTCATTCTTCGTAGGTTGTTCAAAACCCGAGAAAGATTGACTCGCGAGGAGCAGGCTGGGTTTCGTTCCGGTCGAGGATGTATTGATCATATCTTCACCCTCCGCCAAATCTTAGAACACCGTCATACATTTCAAAGGCCAACAATCGTAGTGTTTCTTGACATCAGGGCTGCCTTCGATTCGTTGGACAGGACTGTTCACTGGGATTGTCTATTGAAGAAGGGTGTGCCTGAGAAGTTTATTAACATCCTAAAAGCACTATATACAAACACCTCAGGCAGAGCGAGGGCATACAACCACCTCTCTCCATTGTTCTATTCGAGCAGTGGGGTTAGGCAGGGTTGCTCAATCTCACCATTCCTCTTCAATTTTGCCATCGATGACATTCTGGAAACAGCTCTGATGAATGTAAGTAATGGTGGTGTGGATCTGTTGCCTGGAGAAAGACTTCTCGACCTTGAGTATGCGGACGATATTGTCTTACTGTGCGATAATGCCCAAGGCATGCAATCCGCACTTAATCAGTTGGCAATCAATGTCCGTAGGTATGGTATGTGCTTTGCACCTTCGAAGTGCAAAGTACTTCTACAAGACTGGCAGGATTCTAATCATGTACTCACCCTGGATGGTGAGCAGATAGAAGTAGTCGAGAAGTTCATGTATCTGGGTAGCTGCATAAGTGCTGGTGGGGGTGTGAGTGATGAGATCAATGCACGTATAGTGAAAGCCAGAGTGGCTTATGCCAATCTCGGCCATCTTTGGCGCCTTCGTGATGTTAGTCCGGCTGTAAAAGGTCGGATCTACAACGCGTCGGTGAGAGCAGTTTTGCTCTATGCTTGTGAAACCTGGCCTCTCCGAGTTGAGGACGTTAGATGACTCTCTGTGTTCGATCATCGCTGTCTCCGAAGGATTGTTGACATTCAGTGGCAACACCATGTTAGTAATGCAGAGGTTCGGCATCGTGTGTTCGGTCACAGAGATGATAATGCAATCAATGTCACCATCTTGAAACACCGACTCCGGTGGCTTGGACATGTTCTACGAATGTCGTCCCAGAGAATCCCACGTCGTGCATTATTTGCCGACTCTGGGACTGGTTGGAAGAAGCGGAGAGGTGGTCAGTGTATGACATGGTGTCGTGGTATAACTTTTATATACAATGATCATGTAACTATAAAATCCAACTATATATTCTGTATTGTTGTGAAAAGTTAGTTTTCCAACAGTCAGATATCCTCAGTGTATTTTAATAAAGATAAGTATTCATTCATGTGTGAGTTGTTTATAGCCGATACTTAAAAATATCTTAACGCGTACTGTAACCTTTGACAAAGATAACAGTGTACAACCTCAACAATACCTACACCATGATTGATTTCACCGGTAATCAAAAATGTTCACCAACATATTCATAAGCTTAACACAATACACCCTTAGAAAGCAAAGGTTTCGACCTCGATGAAGACTAATTTCTCTCGCAACGTTGATATTTTTTTACAAAAAAGTGCAAGAACCTTCACTTGCGTTTTCGCAAGAATTAACGTAATACACTGTGCAACAAGGTATTATGTAATTTAGCTCATTCCGAAAATACGTCAATCTACCAAAACAAGGATTAACGATCATTATATGTTCAAAAATTTACATACACACCACTTTTTTTAATACAACAAAAACATTATAATAATGGTTTTTCTTTAAAGAAAACCAAATGAAAGCAAAGCTACTAAAAAGTTGATGATCAAATCCCCCATAAAAATAAGACAATAACCACATGCTAATTAAAGATTAATAATCAAAGATTTGTTCATTCATATATTTGGTAATACAGCAATAAACAAAGAACTGAGATTCAATTTACTTGTGTGATTGAAAAACGAAGGCAGAAAACTTTGTTTAATTTGATCAATACGATAAGTTATTTATGCTTTTTTTAAATATCAGATTAGAAAAGAAACAACGAAATCACCAGAAATCAATTGTTTGATAGAATGCGAAAAACAACTCTGATAGGAAAAAAATGATTTCGTGATAGTGTAATTATTGTCGATGCGTAATCATTTCAGTTCTGATTGGATTAGCTATAGATGTTACAGTTTCTTATCGAAAATCATGCAAATAAACCTTGAAGGTAATAAACAGTTTAAACTGAACATACAATTCTATTTGGTAATAAAATGTATCAGAACGAAGACTGAAGAAATGATCACTCCCGGAACTATTTTATGGATTACTATTATTTACATTTTTATTGTATAATCACTAAACGACTGGATTACAATGTTTATATATTCAGTTTGTCATAAGCTCTTGTTTAACCCATTAACTATACTACTTCTTATTCCTAATTTATTGCCAATGAATTATTTACAGCTAAACATATTCAAAGCGACTTCTGGCTTATTGATGATTCCTTGTGATTTTTCAATTTATGGTGTGATGTGGTCCAGTATATTTGCATATAAACCTACGTGTGCTTGGAAATATTATTTAGTAGAAGCTGGCTGCTGAACACTCTCCAAACTCAAGATAAACGATATGGAAAAGCTTTCAGATAACCACCAATAAAAGCTTAGTTCGGATGGGTTTTAAGGTTAACTATGCAGGTTAGGACATATAATTAGTCGTCTAAGGGGTCAGCTTATGAACGGAATGGTAGACGTGAAATAGGAAATATTCAATTAAAATTCTGATTGGTGAATTAAACACGTAATACCGACCGGCGTTTCAAGTTATGACATAAAACATTCCCTCCTTTTTAATTTTAGCATCATGACAACATGGAAGAGACAGATATGTCTGATTCTACCTATGAAAACGGTGACCATAATGTTGCTTGGTAAGCATGAGAGGGAAGGACGTTTATTCTTAAGAGGTAACTACCCAGTCGTATTGGTAGATGATCAATTGTAAATTTTATGACAACTTTAACACTTGAACTAAACTATTTGAGTCACAGATTAGATCGCCTTTGGACGAAAACAGCTAACGTTAGTCGTAAAATCTTTAACTCTCTAATTCTTGATAATCGTTTTACTAAATACTATTTAAAAACTTTTAGTGCAATGAAATTAATTTTTCTTCTGACAATGTGCCTGAATGTGAATAACGATTCAATTATTTCAAATTACACAACTTGGCAACACCACATATTAGCGAAAGCCAGCCATCATTCTATAAGCGATAAATAACAACCTAAGAACGAGGTAAATTAGCTCAAAGTCTTGACAGTTATCTCAAACCATGGGACATATACCTGACACATGATACGAGTAAAAGGAGTACGGTGCTGTTAGATATAGATGTTTACGATACAACTTACATTTCAACACCAATTGCCAATACCATTTACAACTATTTCGATAAAGTAACAATATTTTCGGGAGTAAAAGGTTTAAGCGCTGAGTTCCATGTCAAGGACAATCGACCACCTTAAAAACCAGTAGTTAGATCCTTAAAACAATGTGAATCTTAGCGTTAGCACATAAAAGCTTAATTATTGGTAAAATAGCAAACAATTACATTATTCTACTAAAATGAAATCAGTAGTTTGCAAATTTTTAGTAAAAATACTGGTATATAATCACACCACGCCATTTCTAACTTACAGAACATAGAGCTTTCAGCGGTATCAGAAACTAAACAAATGTGCGTAGAAAACAAATATAGGGAATCAAAACAAACTAAGACAGTATTGAACTCAAATATTAAGCTGTTGTTATGAGCAATCAAGGTTAACTACGCATGGCAATATATAAAAAGGATTAGAAGTATTGATGTAAAGCCGACCATCTCCTAAGAGATGTCTTTACATCCGTTCATCGGTAATTAATGCTTGCTTTGCAAAGAAAGTAACAATGTTAATAGTTAGGTCTAAAGAAAACTCAAAAACAAAAACAGATCGCTTCGACTGAACACAGAACCATTAATTAATAAGGTTAGTATTTCTACTTACTTTAACAACAGTACACAAGCATTTACCATTTTTGGAAGGGATTATCATGTGCTTGATTTCTATAAGTCAACCTATTTCCCTAAACAGAATAAAAATCATTATTTAATCGATTTGTAGCGTAGTCGGAGAATACAGTGGGAAAATCCCTTTAACTTTTTTTCAATTTACGCCTTACATAATACTCAGATTAAAGTTTGATATCAACAGGATCGATCCGTAGGAAGTAAGATATTCCCCAGTCAACTCTATCAAGATTTGCTCAGATAATGCAGTATAAAGCATAAAGAACTGTGATAGATATATTGCACCAGAAATATATCAATTGAAGAATTAAGCAGTGTGAACCATTTGCATTCTTTTCTCGTCATTTATGACAACAATTAAACAGTGAACTAAAGATATAATGAATTCTTGTAGATCATAGAACATAAACCAATATTATACCATATTTTGGATCTAATCATTAAATACATTTTTTAAATATTGTTAACAAAATACCTGTAAAACAATTATAACAAAGTGAAATGATGAAGACCAACGTACAATATACCCATACTAATTCACACTATAACTCTGTGAACAGGTAACAGGTGAGTTTTAGTAACTGTAAGCCCTCAAATGTTTATATGGTAAATAACTTCAAATTGTGTTTGCTCGTTACCTATATTTTATAAGAAAAAAAACTGGCAATTGTTTCGCTTTTTATATAGGATTGATTCTTTTACAGTTTTAAGCAGACAAAGACCTTTCTAATAGTTACTGATGTATTTCAACATCTCAGCTGAATTCCCAGTAGTCACAGTAATTCACTAAAGAGGATTTGCAGTGATTCTTACTTTTTGACTGACATTTTCAGCATCTATTAAGAAGGTAATGAACATTACCAATAACCAATCGATAAAATCTAGTAAACAAGTATAGGTTTACCTACTCGTTTTCGGTCCACACTTTATGGCTGAGGATTAACGTTTCGAGCTGGTTGCTTGAACTAAACTAGATAAAAATAGATTACAACTTGTTATTTAGTGATGGAAAGTCGAGTGTTCTGACTAATGAGTCTATGCTTAACACATTTATCTTTATGCGAATGAGCATAAAAAATGAAGAGTTATTCACGGTAAGATGGACATATCAAGCTGAGGAGAAATAGCAAGAAGAATCCCGTGTTCTCTTGAGTAATGAAACCAAAACTCAAGAAGCAAATAAATGCTAGAAAAAGACCTCATTGACTGTTTTATCAAAATACTGAGGATTCAAACGATTACTGTTTTGAGAATTTATGTTGTACATTGTTGCGTCTATCATGTTTTCGATACTTTTAGGTTTCCCTTAATAGATTCCCTATAGCTGTATTGACAGAAAATTTCGATGAGATTATAACTTATAGACGACATTTGAGTGACGTCAAAGTGACCTTGAGAATGTCTACCTACTTACTAAGGGTAAATGAAGGTTGTAAATTAGTTTAAAGAATAAGGATTATGATTCATAGTTGATAGTTGGGAATTAGATTTATGATTTTTCATCACGAACTCACATTAGCTAAAGTGCCAAAACGCTATTTAGACAAATGGGTGGATGAATTTCGCGCCAAAATTCAAGACTTGTTATTCTAAATCTGATTGGTTCTTCCATAAATTATAGTCTCGCCAAAATCTTCGCTGATTTTCTACTTCATGAAGTCATATCATTAAGTATTTGCAATTGATTGATCACTGGATAGTGACCAGGGTCATGTGTATCAAGTCCTTCTTAGTGCAAATCGAATTCTACTGACCAGATTGCAATGTAGGCATTGGGTTTGAGTCCGCCAGGGAGCATCAAACCCCTCAAGATTACAGGTACACCTTGCTAACAAGTGCCGAATAGCACGAAACCTAAGTCCAGGGTTTGCTATCGACTACCTCTAACCACTACCCTACATATAACTAAGTGTTGTACTTAACTGTTGTGTGAACAGAACAAACAGCATTTCTCATTTTAGTTGGTACAGAAAATGGTCACTGGGAAAGTAAGCTGGAAATCGCTTGTTCGGGATCTTACCAGATTTGACAATCTATTACTACCTGGAGGCGTTCATTGTTACAATTCAACCTATTAACCAAAGGTATTAAAAATAGAATTAATGTTTGTAAGTATCTTCACTGTAAATAGTTCTTGAATAAAACATTAAATATGTACACATTTAGTTAACAAGTATCAGAAAGGGATGTAAAATAACTATCTGAAATCCACTATTAGTTAGTCTCGCGAAAAATAACACAAATTAAAACAAAGCATACTATTAAACCACATAAATAATAAGTTTAATAGTTTGTTTTGTTGAATTGAAACAATTTTATCAATGGAAATAAGCTATAAAATAAATTGGTCTACATCAAAAACACAAGTTATCTACACTTTAAGGGTAAATTAATCTAACAAAGTGTTATCTTCAAAATATACAAGAATGATATTGTACACAAAGTATACCTCTGCATCTGGAAATGATAAACCATACCGATCAGTCATTGTAACTTGCGAACCAGTGATTACATCTGTAATTTCAGAAAAAAGAACATTACGAAAAATTATTGTACACAAAACTTATAACAGAGTACAAGGACTCGAAAATGTTACAAGTTTGTTATTAAAAAATCTGACGATGACTAGTAATAGAATCACTTTACAAAACACAAGTAGAAAAACCCTCTTAATCCAACGTATCAGCCATTACTTTATTTAATAGGATGTTTTATATTCCTCTTGTAAATTATGTGATCAGTGTAACTGAATACAAATATCTGAAGAAATGGGCACTTCGTACAAATTTACTGAGGAATATTATTTCTGAATTGATGAAATAACCTTTTATTCGTCTTTTCTGTGTACTGTTAATTTTTCATGAGAAAACATTTTTAATCACAATTAATTAAAGTAACTTAGCAAATAAGTTCGTGTGCTCAGTGTTCGATTATATTCTGTGTGAGAGCTAGTGATTCTATCTAATTACGTAAATGAGTGTGGGATAGGGTCTAAACCCATAACTTAGTAGTTGGTAGCCAATTGATTTTACGGTCAAACCACCAATCTACTTTAAATCATAAAACGATTAAACTCACAAGCAGTTGATGGGGTTCAAGTTTAAGGTTTGTTGGTAGTATTCAGCTTCGTCGTTTGTTTTAGTATACCATTATGCCACCTTATTTCTAAAAATACTGTAAATTTCATTATACACAAATAACTATACATCTGATCAATATTCTTCGGTCAATCTAATAAATAATTCTACTCAACATATAACTTCTCTTGCTGGAATGCCGAGGGCTAAGTGAGAAAATAAGGAAGATATCTCTCATTTGTGAACAATCATCACAACGTAGATCCTGGTACGTACGTACATCAGTTCGAGTTGTCATACCCCATTAGCACAGAGAAATGAAATTGTCAGATCAAATCTCAGAATAGTAGAGGCATCGAAGATATGACTCGAGAAAACATGAATTAGTGAAATAAAAATAAATAAAGGTTATGAGGAATTTAGAATCTAAGAGTTTGGAAAAAAACAAAGAACGAATTCACCTGCTCCATTACAAACGATTTTGAGTCATGTCATTCAAAGTATATGACTAATGGTTACGACAATCACGCCGATCCCAATCAGATAGTCTACATCTATTAGCACGGCTAAGTCCAATTGTCATTGACGTCATGGATTGATGACATATTTTGGTTTGGCCACCCCTAGCTTCCTTTCAACCAACTCCTACGCCACAAAAAGTCACCCGTCAAGTTAGGCGGTGGTTGGAAATACGTAAGATATGTCCCAAACACCTCAGTTGATGAAGATTTGCTACCTCTTCAATCGATTTGCCATCCTTAACTTAGACTTTATTCCTAGCCCAGGCACTGCTTACTCCGTGTTCCCAAAGTACACGAACGATGTTTCAAAGACACCTATGACTGGATACCAGTGACCTATGAATATTCTCTTCTGAATGGCCATGTTCCACATCCATAAGGTAGAACGGAGAGAACTGCTACACAGCAAACTCATCTATTGGTTGGCAGACGGATATGTTGCCTACACCACAAGTGACTCGACTCAGCAAAAGCCAGTCGAGCCTTCTGAATCTACGTTGAGATTTCGTCAAACACCAGACCATCAGCACTGACGAGACTCCCAAGACAAGTGGGGAAATCGATGCATCCAATTACTTCATTTCTTATCAACAGCTCATCCGATGATGCGACCCAATCCTGAAGTAACATTTTACATTTGCAGGGAGAGAACCGCATCTCAAACACGCTTCCATTATTGCTTAAGGTGATCATAAAACTCTGCATTTAGTCACCGTCTTCACCAAACTAAACCACTTCATATGGCCTGATTATTTTGACAATCAGGACATCCAAAGTAAATATTTTCTAAACATACACACTATGATCTTCGAACAAGAACAAAATACATAAAGTGCAAGAAAATAACCAGACAATATGAAATAGAGCATTTATAACTATTGAGAACAAACTAACAGTTCACAGTCAAGAAAACAGATGGTTTCGGAACAGACTCGGCAATTAGTCTAAAGGTTAATTTTATCTAAAAATCGCATGCTAGTAATCTTATCCTCGTATGAAAGCAAAATAAACTATATCAAATAACCGAACAAAAAAGAAAATACAGAGCTTACAGAACTACGTTAAATTATTGATACGTAAAAAAACATAATAAAAGTAAATAAAAAAACGTACTTGAGGCTAGAAAACCTTTGACCAATGCTTGAGACATATTACCAGACCCCATAAAACCGTAATGTTTGGAAGCCAGAACAGTTTTTATATCAGCAGACATTGCTTTATGATTACCCCAAAAACAAAATATGAAAAAAAACTTTAAATATTTAAAAGATAATCGAAAATACAGAGCATAATATGTCGACATATATACTTTTAAAAGTTCTTCCACTATACAAAAGGACGATTAACATGTAAGACTTGCCATAACGTTTAGTATGAATAATATTTTTGAAGAGATTAGATTTTTTAACAATACAACAATTAAGCAACATCATGTGGATGAATGAATGGTCAAGCTATTCTGAAAACTGATTAACTACTAATAATCGCTAGTTTAATTAATTTAGCGTATATCGCCAAAGTGTGTGCATCAATCAAAAAATGATTTATTTAATTATGTTTATCATATACATATATACGGATCAATAAACAAATCATGTTTTGCACGAATATGTATGGATATAAAGAAATCACTGTCCAAGGCCAATTGTATTTGGAATCAATGACATTTTTTTATTGATGATACAATTAAATCATTGTATACATGCACACTGTTAAGTCACTACAAATAATGATACATAAAAATGAAATATTATTGATCGGGATAGCTATTTTTAGACTGACAGACTGTCTAACAAATCTATGATGTTGAAGAGTTTTGAGCACATTCTGCAAACGGATGTTCATCAACAGAATTTCGCTTCTATAAATTCTAATCCTGGTTGAGTACTTTAACTTAATGATGAGATGTTTATAGTCAGCTGTGATAAAATCAAGTCAATATTATTCTCGTTTCGTGATACAATCCCTCCAGTACAATTTTTCCAATAAAGCTTAGTGTTCTGAACATATGTGAAGAATAGAAAGTCCTTTTAAAAATTTTATCCACAATGGTTACGATCACTGTGAACCGCAAAGATTTTACTCAAAGTACATATCGCTCAAATTGTTTCATAAATAATTACCTATCCGTAAAGGTAAAAAAACGTGATTCAATAAACATTTCAGGTCCATAGAGTACAAATTTTGTTAAGCGGTTATCATGACACATCGATAATGGCTAAAACGTCATTTTAAATCTAGAGATACTACGATCCTTTCCCACAATACCGACCAACCCAATGAGGACTATTGAAGTACCTTTAGATTTACTTCGGGAGCAACAAACTCCAAAACGTACACATTAATTTTAAAACTTCCGATTCTATTCCTAATGGTTGAAACAATGTCGATGTTTTATCTTAACCTTTAACTTTATTGTCCCACCAGATCATTTGTAGACGTTAGTAAACTGAATGAGTTCGTAAATAATGAAAACAAAAGATATAGAACGAAAGAGTAATTTATGAAGTCAAACAGTGGGCTGTCTTTGTTAACAGGAAAGCAAAACGATTTCAGTTGAAATATTTCCTATTTAGGATCTCAACCGTGAACTGGGAAACATTTTTTAATAGAGATACACAGAAAATGACTACATGCACCTTGTTAATCCCGATTTCCAGTTAGTACCCTTAAAAGATATATTTGCGATCACGTCAAATTTAGATAATGTCCTGAAAGCATCCTAAAGACAGGATTAATCCACAGAAACTGAACGAATGATAGTTTCAAAACCTTAAACATGGAAGACTTAGATGCTCTTCATTCACGAATAATATCAAGACTATCAGACATAATCATTTGGTTGTTGGGGATATTATTTTATGTGCCAGTGAACTGATCCAAACATTTGAGAGTGGAAGGATGCAATCACCCTTTAGTCTACGATACTGGGTGTAAATATATGATGAATATTGATCCCGTGAGTTATAACAGTGCAACTTTTGAGTTAGTACAGGCTATCCGCGTTGTTACTCAATGTAAAGTGAAATGGTGCAACCTCTTGGTCAAGCTTTATCATGGTCCGATTCTCCTCTGGTTGAATGACCCGACTTTTAGTCTTTGAGGGAGTAGTGAAACACACTGATCATAAATTAAAGACCACAGTTAATCACATCATTTGTTCCAAAGTGATTCAAGTCTTACTGTGTTTGGAAGACTAATAGCGACATTAACATGTTATTTAGTTTCACATCCAAGAGACGGGACCCCAGAAATTAGTTCATTTCCAAATATCCTATAACCACCTTGCAGTATGGTAACTAGAGTGATCATATTCGACTTATACCTTTTCTGTAGAAAACCTTGTAAGTTTCTGTCACTATTTTACAGTGACATGACTTCGTTTGTGCTCTGGAAACAGTACGGCTACTCCGCTATTATGTGGCTATATTTTTTGCTTGGAAGTATCCGCCTGATGGAGCTCATATACCGAGATCAAATGCTTGAAGGTACAAGGTTTGTTTCCCACAACGACATAGTCCTCTAACGGAATTTTTAATGAGAACCAATCTCCACTGTTAACGTTCTCAGTCTAAACATTTGTTTCCACGCCAATTCAAAAGTATAGTATAGGTCAGTCGACTTTCTATAATTTTTGCTTGGTAAGAGAAGCTAGGTAGAATTGCTCGGAATCAGTTACAGTGATCTAGTTGCGTCAATCCCTTGCTTTCCGCCAGCTTTAAAATTTAATACCATTCCTAACTTCTCATGCTTCAGTCTTGCTTGTTCGTTCTGAACTGTAGTTCCTAGCCCTAGATTTCCATGAAAGTTGAAACTAACTTCTTTTGTTTTTGATATTGATTTCCTACCCCCTCCTTTACTACGAGGTGTGAGGACTTGGATGCTCATCCGTGCTAGGTTTTCGGCTGATAAAGATCGACTGAATGTCATGTGTTGGTTGTGTTAAATTTCGGTAATGTGTAAGCAGCATTATGGGTCTCCGAAATTAGATTGGAATATTACAAAAACTACGGGAAAATTGTGTAAACCACAGGTATGAAGCTATTTAATTTCAGACCAATTTTGCACTGTTTCACTACGTTCCCAACGGTTTTGGATTGAATTTGGATTTCCGGTCAGTTGCACTACATCGATCAGTTAAACTGACCTGTTTGCAAGCCAAAAGACAATTATATACTAATTAAAACCCAATTTATATTGTATTTATGAACTTGATCAGCAGTTGAACATGTGGTCAAATGATTACCCTATAGTACAGAAAACAGTAGAAATAAGTGAAACCCCAGGACGATTATGCAGAATTAATTATTTAAGATCTTGGATTGACAGGAAATAAATTAACGGAGATGAAAAGGATATACTATGGCAAGATATTTTGGACATACTGACTTTTAGTCTCCGTCAACATCTCGAGAAACAACTCCGCACAGTGCAATATTAAAGCTGGAAAAAATAACTCTTAGTCGATGTAGTTGAACTTTACGGACATTTTAAGAAAACTACAAGAAGCTTTAAGCACTTTATGGGCAAGCTTTCCCACAACTTCAAAGACATCCTATTCACGCTCCAAATCTTGTTGTTCCGACTCAGTACAACCGGTCATACAATAGGCGAACGTGAAAATACCTATGCAATACACTATTTCGGCATCTTCACCCACCCAGCTCAAAACAGTACCGCAAGCCGACTGTAGGTCATTTGCACGATTGACCTTCAGACTTTCAGATTCGTGTATAAGGACAAAAGGTCTACACCCTATGTAAATCGTTTCCTAGTAAGCTTATGTGAGTGTCCAGTCTTCGCTTTAAAAATGCAATTAAAGGTGGGGCCGCCACTGCTTCCAGCAACAGGTTCCAAGAACTGCTGACTCTGAGTGAGGACCTGTATGCCATGGGTATTTTGTTCGCTCTTGGCTTTTCCACTCTACTACTATGTCCTCTGAGTTGTTCCAGTCTTGTAGGAAGAAATAGAGAAGATATATTTGGTCCAAAATTATTACTTATCATACCATACATCTGTAGAGCCAATGAAATGTCACTGGACCCTAGCCAAATAATTCGACAGTTAGGTCACTCAATATCGAAAAATTCACAAATCCTAATCAAGTTCAAGGACAACCAACGCACTCTATTGACTGGCTCATGCGGTTTTCATCGCAATCTCTTAGTTGTACCCACTTTTACTAATATATTTCTACAATAACGTCCTTAGTGTTGAAGATGCCACAGGTATTCGGAGTTTGACAACTCTTTAAAAGTAACACCTTCTAATACGAATCGCACCCACCAAGTGAAATCAAAGTCAGAAACGAGGAGGTTCGAAGATATATTTGATAGGCTATCACTATATCGAGGATCGTCTGATCTAATCTAGCTAGCGATTGCAGGGGTTGTTGAGCACGGAGTTCACACTCGTGATCTGGTGCGGATACATGACCGAGCACCTTCAGCTAGGTGAGTCTAATAAAACTAATGTGGCCAGCATCCAATGTCGAAAACTTACAGAGCTGTTTATTTTGAGGAATTGTTTACCGCTACAATGCAATACGGTTTTCAGAGCAGCCATAGTACCTTGGTACGACGAAAGGGTAATCCAAGTTAGATACTGACTGCGAGGTGTGACTTCAAAGTTAGCTGGTTCGTCACACCATCCTCGTCCATCTCCAGTAGGCCCTCAATCATTCAACTCAGGTCATCTGTGTAAGTGGTCTATGCATAAAAATCAGATCACCTCTTAATCTGTTCTAGGACTGAGTAAAGAGATGTAGCTTTTCAGGCCCCTCTTTGTATAGTAAACCCCGGTGTTGTTGAATTTCATTGGTAGATGCACTCTGTATTTTTTCCGGCATATCCGAGTCACCTTGTAAACAAAGGCTCGTGGCCTAAACAAAACTTACAAGTTTAGATCTCAATTAGCTTGCGTATACTGTGGTGAATATATTAGTATCTAACATCGTGAATGTCCGTCTTAAAGCCCTCAGGGTTGTAGTGTGGCGTCGAGTCGCGATTGACTATGATCACCACTACAGGAAGACTACTTGCCAGTTAACCGATAAGATTTCCCGTAGGCCAAATGTCAGAAGGTAGTTGATGGCTGTAGTCGAGAGGTATTTGTTGGCGATCTCGTGGTATCGAAAGAATATCGAGATCGTGCCAAGGGAGTCGACGTGTGGTTACTGAGCGTAACCGAATTCGTTCAAGGTCACAAGAAACGGAAGAATGTTTATTCTTAGTACATTTAGACTGTAGTGGCTGTGATTCGATAACTAATCACCCCCGAACCGTTATCGTATTATCTTCAACGGTGTTTGAGATCAGAAGGCAAAAGAAGCAGCTACTATAGTTTATTTAGTAGATAATTCGGTCCAGACAGCAGAGAGGCAAAGTGAATGAGCAAGTGAACTACGATTGTAGCAGTAGCAGTAGTAGTAGTGAATGGGTGCAAATGTACATATATATATATATATATATATATATATATATAGGAAAATGGATGAGTCAGCGAATAGATTAAGCAGTTAATAGTAAAGCTAGCAGAATGAATACATGCGTAGGCACTAAACAATGTTCAAGCATATGTATTTTATACAAGCACAATAATAATAACAGTACAACAAGTTGTTATAGCATGGATGACTTTGTCCTTTAAATAGGTCAACAAAAGGCCTTGACTGAACTAAACTCAATTGCACGTGAGTCGCTATAATAGCTCCCCCCTGCAAACAAAGATATATGGAAAAATGTCTGTGGTTGCACAAAAAAAGTAAACTGAATAGGGTAGTTACAATCGTTTGAAAAAATGGTTTGTACAAAATTAAGATGAAATTAGTGTGTGCTGTACATTTGGTTTGTGCTCGTCTGTGAGGTTATATAAAATAATAGCAATAATTAGAAGGAATGCGGTATTGCTTTACATTTTAAACAAAAATTATACGTGTTAGTGTAGGGGTACATAAGATATGTTGAGTTTTATAGCGTATAACATGAAATTAGTAATGCATGTGTATACAATGAAGTGGAAGTTATAATTAATATTTAAAATAGTAGAAGATTCTTAATAGAAGATTGCAGCGACATAATGTTGGGGCCATCTTACTCTTCGGTCAGACCTTGTAGTTACTGTATTCTCTTTGTTTGTGTTCGTCGATGTCGTTGATGATTGGAATCAACGTTTCGATTATTCAACGGTTTTCGCAGTATCTGTGTGTACTGGCTGATCGTAGGCTACGATGAAAGCTGGTTTGACTCGGTCGATGCTAATTACATCCGTTTTTCCAGCTTTGTCTACCGTAATAGTTTTGTTGTCTCTTCTAATCACCTTAAATGGACCATCGTAGGCCGGTTGTAAGGGACGTTGCACATTATCCCTTCTGATAAACACATGGGTACTGTCACTTAGTTGTTTGGGTATGTACACACGGCGTTGATGTTGTCTCAGAAGCGTTATCCTTAGACTACTCATATGCTGCTTTAGACGCAGTACATAGTCGGCTATATCAGTTGGAACGCTTTTACCTGCGGTGAAAAACTCTCCTGGCAGACGTAGTGTGGTTCCATAAACCAATTCTGCTGGGCAGCATTCTATATCTTGTTTGATTGTTGATTTTAAGCTCAACATGACTAACGGTAGCTTGCTGGCCCAATCATTATTGCTGATGACAGCTGTAAGAGAAGCTTTAAGTTGCCGATGTAATCTCTCTACCATACCATTCGACATCGGATGGTAGGATGTTGTGCGAATTCGTTTGATTCCGAGGAGTTCTGTGAGTTGTTAGAAGAGGCGGCTCTCGAATTGAGCTCCTCTATCGGTTGTAATATTAGTAGGTACACCATAATAGGAAATCCAATGCTATATTAGTGTTTTTGCTATAGTTTCGGCTGTAATACCTTTTATGGGCACTGCTACAGGCCATCGTTTGAATCTATCAATGCAAGTGAAAATGTAACTGAAGTCATTCGAAACCGGCAGTGGTCCTATAATATCGATATGCATGTGCTCGAATCTGTTATCGGGATGACGGAAATGACCTACTGCGGAACTGGTGTGGCGATGTATCTTAACTCTCTGGCATTTTATACACGCTTGAGTCCAATTACGAATATCCCGATTCATACTTGGCCATACGAAACGTTCGCTGATTTGTTTGTTGGTGGCCTTTATTCTGGGATGCGAAATATTGTGCATAGCTTCGAAAATGTTTCGCCTTAGCAGCTTTGGAATAAATGGTCTTGGTTGACCTGTAGAAATATCGCAGGTGATGCTTACTTCTTCCAATGGAGTTTCTTTGAGAACTAACGAGGTTGTATTGGCAGATTTTAGTCTGTTTAACTCGACGTCGATATTTTGTAATGATGCTAACTTGTGATAATCGATTTCGGACTGGATAAGAGCGTTGACCATCGTTCTGGATAACGCGTCTGCCACTTCGTTACTATTGCCTATGATATACTGTATGTTAGACGTGAATTGGGAAATAAATTCTAATTGTCGGATTTCCCTCGGCGAGTAGTTGTCCTGTTTGACGTTTAATGCTTTTGTGAGGGGTTTATGGTCTGTATATACTGTGAAAATGGTACCCTCAATCATATGTCGGAAATGTTTTATTGCTAAGTAAATCGCTAAGAGTTCTCTTCCGAAAGTACTATATCTTGTTTGTGCCCGATTCAGTCTTTTAGAAAAAAATGAGAGCGGTTCCCATACGCCATTTACTAATTGTTATAAAACGGCTCCTACCGCTACATCTGATGCATCCGTCATGATAGCTAACGGTGTTTCGCTCTTTCGTCTAGTTAGTGTCACTTCTTTATTTAGCGCTTTTTTAACGTGCTCGAATGCTTGAATTGCGTCTGGTGATAATTGGAATGTCCGTGCGTGTCCGCGTAGCGCATCTGTTAATGGTTGCAGTATTGACGCACAATTCGGGATAAATATTCTGTAATAATTTATTAACCCGAGAAATCGGCGTAACTTTTTCCATGAGTCGGGTAGCGGATAATTTCTGATGGCGTCGACGTCTGTTGCTATTGGTGTGATGCCTTGAGAAGTTATATTTTGACCTAGGAACTGTAAGGATTCTTTTCCGAATTCACATTTCTCAATATTTATAGAAACGCCATGTTCTCTGAGCCGTATAAATAATTGCCGTAGTTGTTGTATATGTTCCTCTTTAGTGGTGCTAGCTACTAATAAATCGTCGATATACGCGTATACCCCAGGTAAACCTCCAATGACCTGGTCGATAAACCGTTGAAAGGTTTGTGCCGCGTTAGTCAGTCCAAAAGGCATACGTAGGAATTCATATAGCCCAAATGGGGTTGTTACTGCTGTCTTCGGTATGTCTTGTGGGGCAACAGGGATGTGGTAGTATGCTCTGACTAAGTCGATCTTCGAGAAGATAGTAGTGCCCTCTATACTGTAGTTGAAATCATGAATGCGCGGTATAGGGTATCTGTCAGCTACTGTTTGTTTGTTCAGTGCTCTGTAATCTCCACATGGCCTAACCTCCCCATTCTTTTTCGGGGCCATATGTAGCGGGGATGCCCACGGGCTGTTCGATGGCCTTATAATGCCTAGCCTCGTTAGCTTGTCGAATTCCTGTTTTGCGATAGTTAGTCTTTTGGGATCTAACCTTCTTGGTCTTACATTGATTGGTGGACCATTCGTTTCGATGTGATGCTGAATAGAATGTTTGAGATCCGCTTCATTGTATGTTACTTTTACGAGTTCAGGGA